ATGCTTAGCCGACCTACGGCTACTGATGGTTGCTCGGCAGCGAAGCGTCGCTACTGCGTACCAGCGCACTGTAGATGTTTTCTCCTTTTCTACTCAGATTACCAGCGGAGACAGGGAGTACCGTCTTTGTGGCGGTATTAAATTTAATAGGTAATACCAGTATGTTTTGGACTACTGCCCAGACATTACCCTATGTATATCTCACAAATGTGCTTCCTCAATTCTAGGTCGCTTGCAGAAGTATCTGGAGCAGGCCGACCCTACATCAATCGTGACTTCCACATGCATACATGTCTCATACCTTCGTAATTGCATAACAAATTTGTGAATAGTGCAGCGCAAACTACCCATGGTCTCTCTGCAGACAATACGGAAAGTTACCCTACAAACCCTACCGTATTTGGCATAAGTTCATCGAATGACGGCAATTGATGCAATTCTTCGCATTATATCCGCAGCAATCTGGGATCACTGGATAATTCTTTTAGAGTATATAACCCCGTTTGTACTGAGAATCGGAGGCACTTTCCAATAACTGGCTGAGGCGGGAATCGGCACGGCCTGTTGTAACTTGAATGGTCTCAAGCGGAGCCAAGTCGAGAATTTGGCGCACACCCATTGTGCCTATACTATTTCTTAACCACGACGATCGGGGCTACCCAAGATGAGTAATAAACTACATGAATTACTCCAGCTCTCTAGGTGATCTAGCTCGTGATTACAACATAATTCACTGAGCGTCTAGTACGAAATATAGGGAGTATCAGGTTTTAGAGATAACGAGACAAGAACTTTTGTTTTTCACCAAAAAACAGCTGTGTATTTCTCCTTAAGGCGTTCCTTAGTCAGTGTCTTCGGGGATTTTTGCTTGTGTAGTTTAATACTCTCACAAATCTGATTGATCGAGACGTTCAGGAGGCTGAAACGTTCGATCCAATCCAGTCCGGTGTGAATCAAATTGTTGTGGCTTGTGACAAAAATGATTCCCCATGCAGTGAGGTCGGCAAAATGGCACTCACGCTTAATTTGGCAAAGCATTTTTAATCCGGCACCTGATGCGTTCTTGCTGAGTTATCGGTTTGCTGTCAGGTGACACGATGCGCCTCCACGGTGTTTCGGAAATGATCGTAATATCAAAAGCTGTGTTAATCTGCAAACCCGTATAGCTCCTTTGATTTCGATGGTACTATATTTCTATTCTTGATATACGGAAAAATTGGCATTCATGTTTTCTGGAAAACGGCCTTATATCTTTTTTCGCGCATCATGAGCTCGTCTGGGCGGAAGCTCATACCTGCAGTGCATTTTTTTGGATCCACTCTTGGCCACTTGGGACAGACATGTTTATTGCATGTGTACAATTACACAAAATGCCATCTACCGCAATACGAACAAGCGATGGAATACCTTATGATCGGTTACCGCGGTCTTGGTTCTCAAATTTCTTTGTACCACCGTAACGGAAGAGAATGCTTTCGAATTCTCAACCATGGCTGTCATGTTTCAAATTGTTAAACCAATGGGCTTCTGCAATTATAGCTTACAGTGTGACTTGCGAGTCTCGTTCCGGCATCCTAAGTATTCTGGTTCGGATTTCAGCATCCTTAGGATACTGTAGGCTGCATACCAATATCAAGCACCCAAACTGACCTTCATTAAGTAGTCGCAGTCTGAACTTTCGACATTCTCCTTTTTCAGTGCCTACGTAGGCAATGAGACTATCTCCATCACTTTTATACAGCTCCAAACAATTATTTTGGTTGTTGAAATATCATGACTGACCCTCGAACATTTCGTTGAGCTGTGTTATCGTATTGTCGAAGTTAAACTCACATGCATTCTTGAGTAGAATGAAGTTGACTTACCTATCGTGTTCACTCGGTCTGAGGTTTCATAGCAGTATGTGGACCTTGGACGCATGGTCAGTGTTTGAGAGCTCAGTTTTAAAGATATCTTCAAAGCGCTGGAACCATGTATCAAATACCAATCCTGGATCAGGGTCAACAGTGAACTCGGTGATGCTGTTTAGTATATCAACCGAAGTCCTGGTAACACCTTCAGAAGCTGCCGACTTGATAGATAAATTTCGGGTAAGTTTCCCATTAAGACGTTACTAACCGGCCTCAAATTGTTGCTGTGGAATCGAAGAGGTCACTAACAAAGCAAAAGCTCGAGACGCTTTTGCTAATCACCGCATATGACGCCGGCGTGACATCACTCTCTTCCTGAAGGGTAGAGTTTACAATATAGCTGTACATTCGACCCTACTGTACGTTTGTGAGCTGGCCCATTAGTTCTGCCGACATAAAGAGGCGAGTTATGTTCGACACCCGGGGCCTTCGCAGGTTGGCTCTTATCTGTTGGGCACACCATGTGTGCAATGGGCGTGTCCGACTCCGTTTATAGCGCGAGAAGAGAAAATGAACCGCTCAGCACCGTTATTTCACGCACCAGGCGTTGATGGCTGGGCCACGTGTTGTGCATGCCAGCCTACCGGCTCCCGCGACGTGCGTGGTTTGCGCGCTGGGGGTGTGAATGTGACCAAGCGATGACTTAGTCGAGCGGAATGAAGCCCCTCACTTCGAAAGGTATTAAGAAGCCGGTGGCTGTTTTATCTTTACTGTTTGTGGGCATCTCTAGTATTCATTTGGAACGCCTAGTGCGTGACATTGCTATCAACCATTTAGCGCTTGATAGCAGACCATCTGGTAGCACACTCCACTGTTTGTTTGATCTGCTCTGTCTCTGTGCACGCTGGGTCATCTTCCTCGCATGCTTGTCAACTGCATGGCTCGGCATATGTTGTTTAACTAGAAGATCTCCTATTGCATGGAACCGCGGGATGAGCAACCGACGGCCACAATGACGAAATCGTGATGGTACATCGCGTTCTGCCGAATAAATGCCTCAGCATCCGCACTCTTTCTAAGACACTCGCGGAGTTAGTGGTCTTTTTGCGATATCATTTTATTTCGACGGTTTGCAGCTTGTTGACGTTTTTCTTTTCTCCGCCTGTTAATCCAGTTGTAACGGCACAAGCCAAGGCAACGGAATCCAATTCATCTTTATACTCGGCTCACACTTGCTTTTTCTTTGCGTTATAGTTGTTTTTTGGACCCTTATTTTTCTGACTTCATCTTCTCCACAACTTTAGCTACACTTCATCAGCCGATCATTACTTACTTCTTAACCATCGTCCGTTGTGGTCCAAATGTATTCGTTTGTTTACATTCTTCCACCCTCGTCTCCTCCGATCACTTCGCCTCGCCACTGCGCGTTGTTGCTCAGTGTATTCCCGGATCACATTGTTCACTCAACTCAGCGCGCTCTGACAACGGGTATCTGCATACCCTCGTCTCTATGTGACTACTGGTTTTGACCACCATGTGGGTAGTCTTCTCTTTACTTCAGCACAGGAACATGTACTTCGCGTCTTGTGACCGTTACGCGTCAGACCGACCTGTCCCCATACGATTGCCTTCATCAACCGTCCAAGCTGCACTCACACCTCAACTCGTTCGATGTGTCGGTGCGAAACTCCGCCTATAAATTGTGATTCCCAACTGCTTCCACCATTGTGTCGTTGCGGATAATAATCTTTTTTTATTCGAAATTGTTTCACCACTGTTCTCTCGGCTTGCTGCCGGCACCATGCTCTTCTCATTTCTCTCGACGTTTTATGCAACTTATGGCCTTACCTACTTCTGTGTTATAGTTCATTGAAGAGGAGCATGGGAACTCTAGTATCGACAACGATGCCACAGTGGATCAGTCAATAGTGATTTTACGTAGGTCTTCGTTATCCCGACCACCAGCTTTCTACTACCGTCGTTTTCCATCTATTTTCCTCTTTACCGTACTTTGTCGTTAATTTTCGTTCTCATTTCTTGGTTTTTGCAATCTACCCGGTGAGATTTTCTTCACTGTGATCCACGTACTGCAGTTCTGTCGTTGCAATGAGTAACCGAAACGTGTACACTCGCTAACTCTGCCCACGCGATCAGGATTGCTCCAACCCTACGAACACTGCTCAAATTACCGAAGTGGTACTCACTAGGGATGTCATCTAGATCTGGTGGATTGTGGTTATACGTGAATCTATTCATTCCAATCTATTGTCATCTTTCCTCCATCGATAATTCAATAGCATGATGGGTTTTTTGGGATATATGTTACAGTATTCCGTTTACCCAGCCATTCCGCTTGAGGACTAGTGTGCAGTCACTGTAAGGCGGTCTTTTAACTTGTTAGTTCTCGTTCTACTGGTTCATTGAAAACACAGGTACTTACACCCGCGGCTATGACTCGGTTACGTCTTGCTGCATATTTACCGGTCTACCATAAACTGGCGCATCGATACTCCTGGCTAAACAGTTTCTTGTTGCACCTCCCCTCAGGCTTTACCGTTACTAACACATTATATTACCTGAGGTGTGTATTGAACTCGGTTAACGTGTATTGATGATGAACACTAACAAAAACGTTTAGCATGTCGTTTGATCTTCACATAATACACTTGTTGTTGGGAGACGTAGAGATGTGGGAAACTGGATCGTTCTGCCAATATGGTTTAACAGCTTTGAGAAGAGGTGGTAGCAATTTGCTCCCGTCCCACTGTCGTTTCATGCAGTGGCCTAGTTCCATCTCTGTCCCCTAACGGCTTACCAAATCTAAGTCTTACAGTTTCATTCTTAGTTCAATTAACTTACACAAATTTGCGCCATTCGTTTGCAGTCGGATAGCTGAATGTCACTGCTCCCCAAACTTCTTTACTTTGACCATCCAGCTTTGGGGGGGGGGGGGCATTAAATATCATCGAGCTATCGTTACCACCCTCGGGTGACCACTTCCCGTGGTTTACAATGCAATGCATCAATTCTTTGACTCAACTGCTTTATCATGCTTGCCAATCCTACGGTTTAACTATGAAAGTGGCTTTGAATAATTTTCCTCTGAATTCTTTAGCTTTGTGATTTTACCGCTTATTCCATTTTCTTCAGATGTCTTTCAGCGCGGGTAATTTTTGGCTTCAACGAACAATCTCTCTGAAGCCTTATCCTCGTGGATGTCACTACATTACGGATGACGTGAAAAAAGCATTACCAGAAATCCAGCAGCTCAAAATGGGTGTGCTTCACCTGTTCAGTGAGTTTGTTCACTAGAAGATGTTTATTTTTCGGAAGCAACTTGTTCTAACTCCGGAGGAAATACTTAATTCTCACTTTCGGATCATTCCGAGATACTTTGCTACCACTGTGTTCTGCGTTCTCCTCCGATCTCACCTGTGGTTAGAAGATGTGCTTGCTTTTTTTGTTCTACCCTATTACCTTACATCAATGCGAGACGTGTCAGTAAAGTTTCAGGACTGAAGTCGCAGAAGATTTCTTTCAAACGCGAGCGTCACACTAAGAGCTTTGATCTTCAAATGACCTCTCTAGATTCCTGTACACTTCCCATCATTCTCTTCCACTCTTAGATACATTCTCGGCAAGATTCTTCCTGGGTCCTCCGCAGCTCCAGCGTCACGGCTTTTTGATGTCATTCATATCTTCAAAACGGGTCTCATTCCTAGTCTCATTGAGCTCGGGGAAGAGAAAATATCACACGTAGCCAGAATGAGCAGTAAAGAAATGCCCCAACAGTACGCCGGTACACAGTACCGACTCTCCGTTGCCGCGCAAGCACCGCCAGTCGCGTGTGGGCTGAGGATACTGTGTGGGTCGTCCGGTCTCATACGCAGGATGGAACCCGCACTCTCAGGATCACAAGACAGGCCTGTGAGCCTTATGGTTACGGGCTGACCCAGGTTGGATGAGTATGGACGTTGCTACAGCACAGCAGTGTTCTTCTCGGCCAGGAACTGTCAGATGCTCTGTGTATTGTGAGCAGGCGCATTGTCATGGTGAAGCAGCCGCGAGCTGTTCTGCCACAACTCTCGACTTTTCACACTTTCTGGACGAGGCAAACGCTGCAGTATCTCTCTGTAGGCATATAGCCTGATCGTCTGTTCCGGTGGCAAGAACTCGATGAACTATCCTCCTCGCGTCGAAGAATGTGATAAACACAATTGATTTTCGGTTTCAATTGTCGTACTTTCTTCGGTCTTGGCGATATCCGACCCTTCCACTGAAGACTCTGGCGTTAGTTTCCGGATCGGACTCAAAGGTCAATGACTCATCGCCAATGACGACTTTCCCTAGCAAGTTTGGTTCCGTTACAAGACGACCGATGCTGTTCTGACACACTTTCTTGTAGAATAGCAGCTGATTGTATTTCATCAGCTGCTATTCTACAAGAAAGTCTAATGAATAGAATGCTGCGGCAAAAGCGTTATTATGGTCGTGGATCGAGAAGCCGTCCACTTCTAGCTTTGGGAGACGAAATGTGGCTACAACCAACACCTGGATCTGATAAGCGTCGGAGGAGCAGAGTGACTGAAGGCCGCAAGCAGGAGGAGTCATGATGTCACGTGTGGACGGGACGGTGAGAGGAATCAAGATCCGCTAAACCTATAAGGGTTATAGCAACGTCCTTGTTCTGCGACTGAACAAACACTGTACTGGATTTTTCCCGATCTCGGTTGATCTTACATTTCTTCTTTCCGCTAACCTAAGTAGATATGCTCATGCTGTAGTGTAGTCTGGTGTGCCGACGAAGGAAATCTACTTTCCCACTGAAGGCGCAGAATTCTGCGCTGCTAACTTGCTGTCCATTATTTGGAACCACATCCTCCGATTTTCGGTGTTTAACGAGTGGACGACGTAAACTGTTCACAACGGTTTGCGTACTGGTTGTGTTGTGCGTATCAATCCCATTGTCGTCACTAAAGTAATTCGACATAATCGGGTAATTCTTTCCTTCATGGGTAAAGATATCCAAATTGACTTTCTACCATGATCTTACCAGCACTTCATGGAATACTATTGGTTCTTTCGGCTGGCACATGTCACGTGTTCTGCAAGCTAAGCGGTTTGATACGTAATCGCGTATTTGACTGGTCAGTTCCGGTCAGAACATGAGCTCTCCTGCTCTTGCCACAGAGTTGTTGATTCCCAGGTGTGCGCATTAGATTAGCTCCAGTATGGAATGCTGCATTGCTTTCGGGACAAATATGCGGTTCCCTTACAAGTTCAGTCCTTCCTGGACGATGATTTCTTCACGGAAATGAAATAAAGGCGTTAGTTCTGTTGGTGGCCTCTTTTTATCTTTAGGCCGTCCATTCAATACTGTTTGTTCCGGAAGATTGCATAACTCATCTTCTTTTGTTCAACGTCCCAGTTACTGCAGACATCTTTCAGAGACAGCAATCAGTTATGTTACATGAACCAAGTCGGAGTCTTCTTGGATTCCGTTTGCATTCTGAAGGCAGTTCTTAGTTAACGTGTCAGCGCTGTGCATTTCTTATCCCGGCTGACAGACAATATGCATCTCGTAATTCTGCAGACGAATAGGCATCCGCTGCAGACGGCGTGCAGCGATGTGGAACGGTTTGCAAGCGATGGCTACCAGTGGCTTGTGGTCAGTGTAGGCAGTTGTTTTACGGTCGAACGCATAGTCGTTGAAGCGTTCTACGAGGTAAACCAGCGCCATTATCTCCTTTTCAGCTGGGGCGTAACGACGCTCGCCCTCCGTCAGTGTGCGATTGCGAATATCAATAGACCTACCGCTTTGCATGAGCACGGCTCCGGTGCCCTATTGACTACTGTCACACTGCATCTCGAGTGGGAGAAATGAATCAAAAGAAACTAGAATAGACATATCTGTGATTAATATCTTGATCCTCTGAAAGAGTCCCTTACTCTGCATCCCAGTGCCAAGTTTCACTTTTATGGGTCCGTTTTGGAAGCAGTATCATAACATTAGATAATTGTAGCGGGACTCGGCTAAGGTAGTTGGCCATTTCGTTTAACCTGCTAACAGCCTTCGCATCAATGGGTGGACGCGTTCCGTTTATGGCGCTTACCTGGGTCCGGTTTTAGTTTTACCGAACTCAGAACATGTGCATGAAATGCCACCTTTGTTTTGCGTAGTGCGACTTTCTCAGATCTCAGTTTAATGTTTTTTTCACTATAGCGTAGCAAAATTTAGTGAAGGTGGCGATCGTGTTCCTCTCGAGTATCGCCTGAAATTTGCATGTCATTTGCTGCACAAAATATTCCGTGTAGATGCCTGCACCAGCCGTTAGATACTTTCAAACCGAAGACAAACGATGATATCTCAAACATCCAAGAGGCGTTCCAAATGTGGTCAAGTGCAACATGCCAGGAAGCTAAGCGAGGTTGATCTTTATCTTAGATAACTCCGGTATCCTATTTTCTAGTGTCGGTAGAGTGTAATATTTTCTTCTAAACACTGCATTAAGCGGTTTTAGTTCGATGCACACACACACACAGAAATCACCGGGTTTATTGACTGCCAGTTGACTTTCCCACTCTGCTGGGTCATCAATCCTGCTTATGGTACGAAGATGGACAAATACACCAGTTTTTCCGACAGCTTTTCGCGCAAAGCGATAGACACCTTGCTAGCTGCTTAGGATACTGGCCTAGGTGATTCGTTTAGCGACGGATAATCGCATCGCTGGAATTTCCAAACAGCACCATCAAACACTGCAGGATAAAAATCGATAATATATGCAGCAGCCTAACACCATTGGACAGAGCGATTGTGGTTGAAAGAAACAAAACTAAGGGGCTAGTTGGAATCAATGTTCATGATGTGCATGAGGTTTGCTGACACAGTTAGGAACTCAAGCTGTTATTCCGTTCCGTTCTTCTGGTTGACATCTGTCAAGATATCGTTCCTTTTCGGTTGTAGCCTCGAGGAGTTCCATATTTTGAGACAACATCCTGTTTCACTGCATTCTACTTCGGTACAATGTCTCTTGGCTAGTATGTTGATAGTGGTTCCTGAATCAAGCGGTAAACAAACTGGACCTTCTTAGATCAACAACGTTGCAACAACGTATTTCTGCCTTCCATGATGCTTCATGTTATTTACTGAGAGCTCCTGCGTATCATGTTAACTTTCACTGCCTACCGCGCTGAGGTTGGTCGATGTGCAACTGTGAGCATAGTGTATTTTTTTGTGCACTTCACGCGAGTCTTGTCCCAGGCTGGGCAGTCCTTCTTTCGCATCGTATGCGTCCGACCATAAAACTGACAACTGTGCTCTTGACCCTCAGATGGCTGAGATGGGGTTTCTGTTGTCCTGGTACTGTTCCACTATTGTTTCCGTTTGCAACATTTGTAGGTCCAAGACTGTTCTCCTTCCACTAAGACAGATGCCAATACACTGATTCTAAGCTAGGTTCCTCGATATCAGAAGACGTTGAGTGTGATCACCATTTCTTATGGCGTTCACGTGCAAGGGAGCCCCGCATACAATTATGGAAGTTATAAGGACATGCCAGAACGTTTGTTTCCGTAATATAGTTTTCCACAGACTCACCCGGTAAGTGCTTGTTATCAAAAAAATGTCTCTGGTATATTAGTTTGCTCGACTTTCTCAATATTCTCCAAATCTCCAGGATATCTGGCTTCTGCTCATCTGCATCATTGAGGTTCGTTTTTAGCACTCGCCTGGCGTCGTAATTATTTTGAAATCGATTTACTCACCACTACGATCACCGAAGCAGTAATTATCAAGCTCAGATGTCAATTCGCGCGACACGGAATACCGAAGGAGCTGATCTCTGACACTGGTCCCCAGTTTACCAGCGTTGCGATCCAGGCATCCAAGTGCAAATTCGTACAATAGCCCACCACCCCATATGACAGCCAATCAAATGAAAGGGAGTCAGCAGTTATGCAGGCCAAGTGACTTTTATCAGAGGCTGGAGTTACTGGTGTAGGCCCGTATCCCTTGATACTGGAGAATCGCAACACTCCTTTAACGGATATCGGCTTGAGCCCAGTACAGCGCCTGTACAGCTCAAGGACTAGAACTCTAATGCCGGCATCTGCCACACTTTTGCTCCCAGTTTCGCCACAGCACGTAAGATTACGGAACAGTGGAAAGTCGAATGACTGCCAAAAAGCGGGTACTACGACCGTGGTGCATAGGTATTGCCTGAACTGGATGGCTTGCCGAGCAACCTCATGGTGCCAGCTGGGTGATTTGGGTTTTCCCGTTCCAGCAAATGG